ATGATTATTTAAAAAAGTAGAAAATACAAGTGAATTGGGCGAGTCACTATATTTATATAATGGACAGACAAAACTTTATCGTGAATCAAAAACGGACCATGACAATTTTAAAATTTTTTATATCATCACACTGTGCACAGATGAAAAAGATCCTTCTTGGAAACCAAAAATTTATTGATCATCGCGACTTTCTTGGTTGAACATTTCGCACCGATTGAGGGTCTTAACTCGTGGTTGTTTGAATACAATATAGATTATATATCCTTCTTGAGAGGAAATTTCAATGTAAAAACAGCCTCAATGGGGGGATTCATGGCAGCTGGCATCACATCCTGAACAACATCTGCGAGTCTTTCTGGACCCTCAGTAGAGGATCTCTCAGAAAAAATGATGCCTGGTAGAAGGCTACCAAGACTGCTGAAGGAAACCTTGGATAGGTATACATTATCGAGTCTCTCCTAGAATTCCTAGAATTAGAGACTTCCCTGTTGACTAACTATAAATTCATCATCGAGTCTTTCCTAGAATCGGGAAATTTCGCTGCTGACTATTAATAAATTCTTCATCGTGTCTTTTCTAGCATTGGGAAGTTTTCCAGTTGACTAGCTATAAAATTCGCGTTGATTGAAACTCGCAGACCGCGGTTATCCGAGGAGAAGCTAACGTCCCCATCCTTCGCGAAAGAAATTTGTTTTTCAAGAACTTTCACGGCAGGCCATGCCGGCGACTGAAAGAACATCCTTACCAACTTCTGCGAGTCTCGCTGGCCCCTCAGTAGAGATTCTATCGGAGGAAAAGACGAATGGCACAAGGCTAGCAAGACTGCTTATTGATGAAGGAACAAATGCTCTAAGGAAATTCTTGCATTCCACGCATCCAGGGTCAAAACTAAAGCACGCATTAGACAACAATCGCCTAAAGCTCGAGGGGCTGAGGCGGAAGCGAATAATACCTCATGAGCAATTAGAAAAACTGTTTCCTTCCTCAGGTAATCCACCAGATCCCAAAGAATTCGACATCACACTTTTACACTTATTGCTCCGTGAAGTTTGTCATCGAAAGACTCCTTCGACGGGATGGCACAAAATGCCAGCAGACAATGATACGAGCCCTGAAGCCAGCATCGTTCGTATAAAATGCTACAGAAATGAGCTGTGTCATAGTGATTCTACTGGAGTTCCGAATGACGAGTTCGAAGACAAGTGGAACAAAATATCTTCGTCTTTAGAAGTGCTTGAGGTAGCCGCCCATCGGAAAAAACTTCAGTTCCTGAAGAGTGCTACTATTGATCATAAAGCTCGGTTGCTGGAAGAGGAACTCGAACAATGGAGAAGGGAGAAAGAACTAGAGAAAAGTGGAAAAGACTCTGAACTCTCCAGTTGTCTTCC